CTGTATCTCTCTATGTAGCCTGGGTTGATCAAGGAAAGAGCTGGGTCCTGTGGAAGAGGGACTGGGCCTGACTGGGGATAGACTGGGGGGCCCTGTGGTGGCACCTGCTGATATAGTGGGGGCACCGGATTGTACTATGGCGATGCCGGGCAGTACGGTGGCTGGGGCACTGGTTCATACTACGGCGCTGGTGCCGGGTGATATTGTGGTGGAGCAGGCTCGTGCCGGGGTGGCTCGGGATCCGCTTGCTGTAGCGGTGGCTCAACCTGTGGTAGTGGGGGAGGTTCGGGTAACTCCCTTCTCTCATCTCGACCTTGCTGAGCAGTAATGATCCTTTCCAGCATCTCAAATATTCTGTCCACATCTTCCCGAAGCGAATCATCCCGGGTTGCTCGGTTTAGTGGGGGTCTTCCTCTCCTCATTTCTCTGCACCTGTATTTCACAAGGAAGAGTTGAGTAACGATTTATCGGTGGGTATTTCTCTAAGCATTATTGTGTAAGAGATGAGTCTGAGGAACACGACTCTGATACCAACTGTAACGGTCCCGAAAATTTAAAAAAATGTATATATATTTATTCTAAGTGTGGAAGCAAAATAAAATAGATTTTGATTAATATTCCTTACATAATAACCGAAACGTATTAAACGTATGAAAGAATAAACCAACTAAAGTAAATACTAGTAATGAATGCTATAAATAAATCTATGAAGTCCTTAGTCATCTACTCGCCGTCTTCCTGCGGGACAAGCTCGGGAACCAAGTCCTCTTATCTGAAATGGTTAAGTAAAGAATGAACTACACTAGCCCAGTAAAGACATCACACTATCTCACTGCCACAGGAGTAAAGGTTGGTAGAAAAAAAAAATTGACAAATGGAGCATAATTTATAACAAACTCATTTATCAATAATAAAAACCTTTACTGTCCACTTACCTCAGTGAGATTCATGAAGACAATTTATGAAACACAATAACATCATAAAATCATGCAGACTCTGTAACATAACACATATCATACTCTCATTTTTCAATCATCAGACAATAATTTTCCTCTTTTATCAGTCTACTAGTATTCATGGGGATCCATAGGGGATCCCCCATACTTTTGAGCCATTCACATTAATAACTTGATTCCAGGACCGTCCCCATACCTCGTCCGGTATGGGCGCCAAAACAAATAAGGTCTCCATACCCCGTTCGATATGAGAGACCACGTTCCCAGTAGGGTTCCCTACGGACCCGGTTCGTCCACCATCTCCCAGGATATCTAGTTGAGCTGTCGACATTATCCATTTATCAATTCACATACATTTTTCTATTTTTCATTTTCAATTAATTTTTTCAAAAATAATTTTACCCAATTTTATCGTTATTATTATTTTTATTTCTATTAAATTAAATTAAACATATAATTATTACAAAATAAATTAACTATTAAAATAAAATAAAATTCAAAAAAAAATTCCAATACAAAAATAAAAATAGTTTTGGGGTGTTACAAAGGGTACTCGTTCTTGATCGTGATCTTATTCAGTAATTTGAAGTCAATACATAACCTTAACGTCTCATCCTCCTTCCTTGCAAAAGTGATTTCAGCACCCCAAGGGAACACATTATGTCAGATGAATCCACTATCCTGCAATTCATTGATATGTTTTCTCAACTCCTCCATCTCAATACGACTCATGCGGTAAGAAGCAACCGAAATAGGCTGGGTGTCTGATTTAAGATCTATAGTGAATTCAACTTTTCTGTCCATTGATAGTTTGGATAGTTCATCTGGGAACACATCTAGAAAGTTTCGAATTACCGAAATCTCTTGAATACAAATTTCTTTCTTAGGTTTACCTAATTAGAGAAAATAGCTAAGTTAAAACACATAGTAATAAAAAAATGCCATGAGGAAATAATATTTAAGGAATTTTATTAATTTGTAAATGATTCTTCATTAGGAGGGTTGAATACAAGTTTTTTGTGAAAATAATTTACAGTGGCGTGATATGCTGCTAGCTAGTTCATTCCTAGGATTACATCGAACTCTCCCGTGTCAATCTCTATTAGGTCCATACTCAATTTTTTATATGCTATATTTATGATACAAGCTCTGTATATAACCTCTCCCAGTAGTGTCCTACTCTCAGAAGTAAATACAAACAACACAGAATCCAGCCTTTTAGGTGATACATTCAAGTTTGGTATAAAAGTATGTGAAACTAATGAATGTGAGGCACCCGTATCAATCAAAATATGTGTAAGATGATTATAGATAGTATATGTACCCTGTATCATGTCTGGGTTGGCTTCTGCATCTTTGCAGTTAGGCATTTTTCTTCAGTGAACCTGTAGAAAACAGAATGGTGAACACAATGTTGAAAAAATCATATGAAACGGGAATCGGAAAGAGGCTCATCGGAGACGATTTTTAGTTTTTTTTCACGGCGGCGCCACTGGGCTTTTCTTGTTGTTTCTAGTTTATCTGCCATTTTTTTTGCTCTGATTTGGCCATGATGGTGTTCAAAATAAAATTCCGAGCGAATAGGAGAATTTTTACCTTTTTTGGCGGTCAGAGATGACTCTAGCATGGTGGCGGGCGGCGGTCGGCTCCCTTCTCTTGCGACTGATTCTTCTTCTCTGGCGAGGGGCTGACGGCTAAGGTTAGGGTTTGGTGTGAAGTGAGATATTTATATCTGTCTTCCTTAAATCTGAGTTATTTATCGCATTTGATCTTGACAATTTGATCGCGTTTAAAGAGAAAATGAATCTAAACTGTTCATCGCGATTTGATCTGAACCGTACGATCGTGTTTAAAAAAAGAACGAATTTGGGCTGTTCATCACTTTTAATCACGATCGTCCGATTTCACCTGAAGAGGGAACGAATCCGGACCGTTCACACGCGCGGGAATGCATCTGGGTTGTCCAAATGCGGGCACGCAGATTGCCAGTGTGGCCTCCCGCGTGACACCGAATCAGTGTGTCTTGCCACTTGACTGCATTCCTCTTCGTCGGAGCTGCTGACTGGACAATTCTACGTGGTGCAATTTTTCTTAATTGCATTTTGATCTATAATTTCTTATTTTTTAAACAAAAATAGCTCTGGAACTTAAATTTTTACTCATTTTTTCTAAAATTATTTTCAATTTCATAATTTACTTATTTTTTTATCTAATTTTACATTAAATAAAAATTTTTAAATTTAAAATTTATATTTTTATATTCTTATTTTTATTTTTATTTTTTTAAATTAATCTCGGGGTAAATTTCGAGTTCGAGTATTACAACAGAATACAATTATCAGCAAAAAATAAAAAAAAAATACTATGATTTTTTTCTTCCTGTGATGATCATTATCTATTATAGATATTGTTTAATTGATATTTTTTCGAGGATATTGAATATAATAATATATGTTACGAAGTAACAGGAAAAAAAAAATTAACATATGTAATTAAGTAAGTAGCGAATAGAACAGGAGACATGGCCTGTGGCACAATACACCACCAGCTTGCCATGCTGAATGCTATTGGACGTCAGACGATCTCAGTTCTTGGATGGGAAGAAAAAAATTAATCTTTTATTAATCAAGATTTCTGTTCTTGGACGCCAAGAAACTAATCAATTAGTAAACCTGAAAGATTGTATGGGTCAAACTCCAGTTCTCGTACATGTTAATTTGGGCAAAGGTAGTATACTATATATATATATATATATATATATATAGATGTACATACAGAAAATTTTGGCATGTATTTTACTAAACCTCTTTAAGATATATAGAGTTACTTAAGAGTTGTAGAGAGATGGGATAATGAAATCAGGAGAGGATTAATGTCTGAAAACGCAGTCATTGAAGTTATCAATATTCCATATGCGAACAATAATTAAGAAAAGCTAATCCCATCAAGTGTATCTTTAAAGTAATTAACCTTACAAGTTAAGTTAATGATAATTAACTTTTTCAAAAGTACACAAACATATATAATAATGAAAATTCTGTCACTTGAAAATTGAGTGATACGTAGGCCATTGGAATTTGCGGCATTAGAGAGCCTTTTTATAATTATAACATGTTTTATTGGTTATTAAATAACCATAATTTCAGGAAATAAAATCAACTAAATTAAATTTTATTTAATTTCTTAATTTAGTAGATGTAAATATTAAATTATATATAATCTATACCATTAGTGGGTAATTGAATTAATTTTTTTTTTTTATGTCTTCAATTCTATAAGTACAAATTTATGTCTTCATTTATGAAGAAAGCAGTCACAGAAAGGATTTGAAATTATAATAATATTTTTAATCTAAATTTCTATAATACTTATATTGTACCCTTGTATTTTTAAATTAAAATTGAACGAAATTCAACGTGAGAGTTATTTAATTTTTCAAAATTTGAGAATCTTTAATCAAAAAATAATATTTGTAATATATATAAACATGACAAAAAATATATGACAAAATAATTAGAACAAGAGCCGTATAATACCCAACAAATTCAATAGATATTCATCAGGCTTAAGTACATTAATTTGTCATCACAGTTTTTTCTTTTACGTACCGCGTACCTAACGTGCTGACGAATTACATAATGGGTTTTCAATAAAATATACGTTCCAAGTACATGCACCTATACATACACCTCGATTACTCCCACCAAATGATTAGAGAACAACCACAGAAGTCAACCCAGAAGCCTTAAAAAAACAGATATTCAAACCCCATTTCTTCTTTGTTGTTTGAATCCTGATTTCCTCCCTGAATTAAGCTTGTCACTTGATTGCACCTCAAGTTTCCAACTGGGTTTTTTCCCACCGTGTGCAGAATAAAGGTGTAGCTTAGCTGTTGAGATCATCATTAATCTTTTTATATCTATATATATATATATATATATATATATATATATATACACCCAGACCCTGGAAAGCTATCCTCATGATCTTAAATTAAATAATCATTCATTTTAGAGATTGTAACTGTGTATATTCTGCATGATGATGAGTAATACAGTAGATGGTCAAAATGATCAAGATACTCACCAGGAGCAATCAGAGGTTATTCTTGAGAATGTATGGGCGAGTTTCATCGGCGAAAATGGAGGAGACAAGATCAGAAAAAGTTCATTAGAAGTGTGTAAACCATGGGAAGAATTACCAAGTCTGGCCATAAGAGATGATTCAGCTAGAATCCTACGAAGGTTGCCAAGTCTAGGGAGGTGGATGTCAATGGGAGCAGAGGCCTGGGATGAGCTTCTTGAAGGGGGTTTTGACCTAGCAAGGCATGAAAAACAATCTTGTGAAGATAATTCAACAAGTACCAGACTGTGCACAGATCCTCCATGGCCTAAAAAGGTGACAATTGCTGCAAGAGCTGGACAAGAGAATAAGGTTTCGACACGCCATTACCGTGGAGTGAGGAGGCGTCCGTGGGGAAAATACGCTGCGGAGATAAGGGATTCCTCGAGGAAAGGCGCTAGAGTTTGGCTAGGGACTTTTGACACAGCTGAAGAAGCAGCTTTAGCTTATGACAAAGCTGCTTTGAGAATTAAAGGGCCTAAGGCTTACCTAAATTTCCCTCTTGACACAGTTGCTAAAGCTTTGGGTATTAATTATAGTTCTGATCATCAACATGACAAGAATCTTGCGACTTCTTCATCTACAAAAATTTCTCAAGGGAATTACCAATCTCGGACATTTCTTGAAGGCGAAGCCACTGTTTCTGTTGCCCGAAAACGAGCATCGGGAGACTGGGAATTACCGCATGATCGAGATAACTGTTATAATGAGAATATGTTGATTGATGATCACCAACGACTAATGAAGAGAATTAATTGTAGTGTGGGTGATGAGACTTTGGGGAATGAGTTTGATGTTGTGGAGTTTGAGGATTTAGGGAGTGATTACTTGGATAGTTTGTTGTCTTCATTTTAACAAAATTGCTAAGTAAGCAGCAATAGAAATAAAAATAGATGAACCATTCATAAATTACAATTATATACGTACACATATGTTTATTGATTATTCATGAGTGTATCTAGCATGTGTAAGTGAGCACTGTTTTATATATGTAAATTTTTTCCATTTTGAGCAGGCTTATTTAGGAGCTCACTTTGGTCGTATACGTTTGCAAGCAACTAGCTTTTCTTCAGTTCCATCACTTAACAGGACTCAAGGAAGATCGCTCACATGAATTGTGTGCGTGTATATATATACATATATGTATATATAAAAAGATCTCTTTGTTTACACCATGATGTTTTACTAGGACCATTTTTCTTTAGATTCCTAGTTTTGGTGGGACGAGAGTTCCATAGCTTGATTGATCATCTCCTCAAACCCTCTATTTCCCGCTCGGTCAATGCTTTTAATAATACGATCTTAGTTGTAGATGCTTGTGTATATATGAAGTTTAATACCATTTTCACAATCTATAATATGATTTATAAAATTTTTTAAAAATTATTTAACAAACTATTTTAGTGAATTGTAATTTTATTTTTTTATCATACACTTTTTCTTTTTTTAAATCACTTAATTTATAAAATCTTTAAAAATTAAATACAATTAATTAAGGAAAATTAATAAATAAAGTACAAGTAATGACTAAAATTCATAATATTTTTAACGAGTTCTAATACTGATATTCACGTTAAGTTAGAATTACTAACTTAAAAGATAATCGAGATCTCGAATAACTAATCAAACAGTTAAAATAAATAAAATAATGATAAATTTTGTTAGTAAAATAAATTCTATAAAAAAAAATAAAACAATAAAAGATATATATAAAAATGTTTAGAAAAAAGCGGCTTCCTTTTTATTAAATATATTAACACATTAGTTTCATTTTTATATTTAAAGAAATAATAAAATGAAAAATTGGCACATGGTAGTCAAGTTTTACTTATAGATATATATATATATATATATACACACACACGATAATTACTTGTATTAATTTTTTGTTATTTCAACAATACCTATCATTAATATTCAAATTATACATTGAAAGTAAACTTGTGTTCGGGTTTTTGTTGTATTTTAAGATACTGCTTATGTAATTACCATAATTGAAGAATATTTTTTTAAAAAGCAATTTTAATAAAATAAAAAATGGAAAAATATATAATAATTTATAAAATTAAATCATTTTCGTTCAATTAAAAGAACAGAGTAAATGGAGAAAATGACTGCGCGCTTAAAATTATGACCAACGAACCCGCTCAATTCCTGCGTCTTTGCGAGTCCCAAGTTACGAATACATGCGTGGTAGCCTCTTCAAAACAAAATTTCACTGCACTTTGAACATATTCTTTCCCGCTTGAGATTCTTTCAATATTTTCCGGCGATTGAAATATCCTCATTTCTCAAAAACTGAACAAGGTAAATTTTAATTTTCTCGGTCATTCAAATTTCCCTGCATCAGAACAGCAACATTTCTCGCTCGCGGATTGAAGCTTGGAAGGTTAATCTTCTAGTACCTTCATTAAGCTCTCTCTCTCTCTCTCTCTCTGGTGTACTTAACCAACAGTTTTTCATGGTTCTAGGCCTGAAAATAGTTTAGAAGCGCCTTTTCTTTTCTTCTCTTTTTTAATCTATGATTTTTGTGTGTTTTTAAGGCGTTCTTCCGTCAATATGAGAATTGATCTAACTGCGTTAGTACTTGCTAGATTGCGTATTTGATCAGTCTTAAATGAAGATAACAGTGAGTATTCACAATTTTCAGTTTGCGCCTTATTTAGGTGACTGAATTTGTTTTATCCTGATTAGAGTTTTCTTAATTAAGTTTCGTATGCTTCTCAATGCAGATAGTTAATCTACATTTCTCTATCATTGTCAATTATCCTTGCTGCTTTGGATTGTGTATAAATCTCATCGCAGCTGATAAACTTGATAGCATTCATTTTATGTCTTTTAATTTAATGTTTAAGCAACAACTTCAAGATGAACTCATAAAATAATTGTTTTCTTGCTCAGAGAAACGGTTGGAATTGATTCGCTTTGTTTCTTTTGTATTACTGGCTCATATATATCTTTTATGATGATTTTATTTTATTTTTTTAAATTCATTTAACCTTGGGCAGTTCTACGTGTTGTTAATTTATCTTTTGTTTTGGTGCTATTTTGGCGTCTCAAATTTTGGTCGTTGTCTGGTAGGAAAGCATCATGCATGGCCAAATGTCGCTTTTTCAACTGTAATTTTTCCACTACAGTTGGTTGGTTGTTTCCAGATGACAGAGCTGAAAAAGGGAACCTCTTCTGTTGATCCAAAGGAGAAAGGTTCACTGCTAGGTATTCCCGTCTATTTCTTTTCTTTGTAACATGCATTTAGAAGCTTAGATTACCAGTTTTGCGGTATCTAAATGAGGATGTAGCAATATGGGGAAATGAGAAGCAGCCGAATGATCATAATTTCATTTCACGAAAGAATCTGTGTCAGTAGATGATGAAAATGTCAGAAAACTATAAACAAGAAGTTAATTTACTTGAAGGTAGGTGGACAACAGAGAAAAGTAGCCCATCTGTATCTTTTTGTTGGGAATTGTCTATATTCAGCTATAACATTAACTTATGGTTGGGTTTCAGTCCTAATCTTCTGCACTAATAATTTTTGAATTCTCTGAGTTTAATGAGATAAGAGGCCCTTAGCTAGACAATGTTATATCTGTCTTTTCTGATATCTTAAGATACTCTGATAGTATTATTTGGAAGTTTATAATTTTTATTCTCTGTCATTTCTAAATCAACATGGTTTAAAAATCCTACCTTATAGTTGAAGCAGATGATGGAATTGGAAAGGAATTCCTTAGCTCCTGGAAATCAACGTCAATGATGGAAGATGTTGCACTGGATTTTGGTTTAGAAACAGTACCTAAAGGAAACAAAAAG